AGCGCAACTGTTTCAAGTTAGTCGTGTGCCACGGACCGAGACAGGGTTGTTACGGCCTGCTGTTCGATATTGCTGTTGGCTACAGCCCACTGTTATTATGATTGGTACGCCTGTCTCAGTGAGGCCAACTTTCCGACTCTATTCTATTACTCATTACTCACTCAACTTTAAAATTTCAACGCGAAAGGCAATCTGTCACATAATAAATACACGGAAGCAGACCAGTCTTTATATACATGGTGTTTCTGAAATAAGTAGCAGGTGACAGGGGGTAATAGGGTACTATAAAACAAGAAAATTAAGTAAATGTTTGGTGGTCCAGAAATTCACCGATTTCCAGAAAAGCGTATTTGAAAGTACCAGTCCGACCCTGGTAGGATCTCGCAGGGTACGACATTACAACGCCGCATTCAAATCAGCTGCTAGTTAGCAGCGACGGTGTTGTATTTATTTTGTATTTTTGGACTTACTCATGCAATGTTTGTTATTTGTTAGATTAGATTAAGTGTGATTGACGATGTTTATATTAGTTCTTTGTTCTTTTAACGTTGTAGAAGACAGTCGAAGTCATTAGAAGTAGGTCAGTGTGTTAGTGTCATGGATTAGTGCAGAATTGTGGATTGACCAATGCGTGAGTTTCTACACAATTTTGTTTCAAATTTATTGGTACCTTGACCATGTTTCTTTACTCACCATACGATTCCCTATTGCGCTTTCCAATGCTTCCAATAATAATAGGTGTTTGGTGATTAAGACGACCTAATTACAGTTTTGTTAGTTTTGAAAAATTTCGCAAAATATAATTTGATAGTGTACCTACAAATTTTGTGTTCAAATTCGGGGTTGCTTTCCCAGGAATATGGGAGTCCTTCCTGACTTTTTTGACCCATTAAAGTGTAAATAGCTCCCTAATTATTTACACAGAAACTGGAGTCTACGTATGTTTCATTTATAGCTGTTACACATCTTATGAAACGTTTATTACGTTAGCTTGCTCGTATATTTCGATAAAATTCCATTATAATTATGTGGTTTATTGCGGTGGTGTACAGCTTTTCAAAAATTTAATTACCGAAGATAAACTATTGACGAGACGACTAGTGGCTATATGAAATATTAAAAATATAACATTCCTACAGTCGGATATGATTCGAAAAACGCAAATTTTATTATCAAGGGATAGCTGACATACGTTTATTATTGCGTCGTAAACGACAATGGTAGTAAAACAGGAAACCACGACTGCAATAAAAGGCGGGTCGTGGTTGTACGTGAATGACTTGTTAAATGAGATATTTGTACAGGTAATAGCATGAGTCCTACAGAGGTGTAAAACTATACGTACTTTTGTCAATATTCCAACATGGGCACATTAATATCCATATATTTCAATGGACTTATGGGCATTTTGAAATCATCAGCTGTATGGATGCGTCTTATTATATTTGAAAGATGAATGAAGATGAAATAAGTACAGAGTTTTGGATGTAATAAACATTCGTACGGTGAAATCAGCAGTGTGGTTAAGGGCAATTGTTTTTTTTAAGAGAATCACAGTAATTTATAATCGGAAGCCGGTCCTGTGCGTGAATTGGCAGCATAGGTGTCTAGCCAATAGCGCAGTACGATAAAAACTCCGCAACTACATGGACAGAGGGTGTAAACATTACCGACAATCGAACGTGTAAGATAAACATAAACCATTTAGTACTACACATGTTATGTAAATATAAATCGCTAATTAATTGTAATTTTATTAAGGCATTTCCACACTGTTGAGGTATTGTCATGCTCCGTTACCCTTTTACTTGTGATCAAAATTAAAGTACTGCTACTATCCTTTTGAAACCACCGAAATAAATCCACTCGAGACTGAAAATCAATTTTTCAGCAAGGTTTGCACACGCTGCAAATGATAAAGATGCAGCAAGTATGTGTATTCCGTTAAAAATTGCCACACTGAGAGAAGACAACATTCTCTGTTATTTCGCGTGTACTATTTCGGGAGATTGTCTCTTTCGAAATCTAGGAATTCGTCCCTACAGCAGTGATATGGTTCAAAACCGTAAATACGTAGATGTCATGTCACATTGCTATAACAACAAGTGTTTCTGACCTACATTAGTAATTGATGTTGTATTGCCAAATTAGTTAATGAACTGCACAAAGTTTAAACGTTAAAAGAATAAACGGTTATTAGAGGTTGGTTGTTAACATAAACACTTAAAAAAATGCAAAACAAATACTACATTGATGCTAGTAATCACCAGCTGGTTGCGTGTAGCGTTGCGGGGGGTATTTCTTTAGCAGGGCCGGAATTGAATTTGCCTGTACCTTTAAGTACATTCTTCTCGAAAACAGTGAACAATTTTTGTGTTTTATAGTACTCCTGTAAGTTCGGCACTTATTTCTGTAAAGCCAGTTCTCTACTGTTCATTAAAAAACAAAGAAAATATCAAATCTTTCGTATTGTGATAGGAGTGAGTTGTATGCAGGAACGGCCCGGTTTACCCTTAAAATAATAGTTCCTTAGATAAGATTCTCATTTCCTTTCTCACAAGGCGGCAATTGCATCGGGAAACAATGTCAACGCGTTCCGGATCGAAGAGCACCCCGGAGTACTTAGAAGGATCGAGATGGGTTTTATAACAATCGGAATTGCAAAAGAGCATTTATCCTTTACGGTTAAGACCGGTGCAACAATCGAAAAGTGAATATAAAAGTCGGGTTTATACAGGCGAGAGTGCAGGGAGTAGAAAATCTCCTTGGAAGAACAAAAGCCACCGTCAGACTCTTACCGTGAAAGTTATCGGAGTTACGCTTAGCGTTCCCAGGAGGGAGGAGGAAGCTGGAGGAGTAGGAGGGGTGAAAAACTTGGTTGCGAACGGCTGGACGGTGAACACCGTACGAGCAAAAGGGTAAATAGTAACGAGACAGTTGCATTGCAGTCAAGTTGAAAGAATCATTTAAAGACGGCGGTGTAGGAGGTAGCGGAATTGTCGTATTTTAATGGTTCAAAAGCGTCCAATATTCTACAAGAGCGCATCCGAAGGACGAAGGATGCAACTAAAGGATTCCGATCGGGAAACTTTTCATATTATGTTGGAAACGCGGGGAGCACGACTTCAAGGATTAGGGTCCTTTATCGGTCAGGGGAATGACTACACTTGTAAACTCTATGACAAAGGGCAATTTACCTATCGAGAATCAAGTACATACACGGTTAAAATTTAATGAAGGAATCTTCAAAAAGTTTAACACACGTTGTCGTCCTTGTTCTCAATAGAACACTCAGAAGCTTATTACCGGTTGAATATGGCGATATAGGTGTGACAAAAACATCGTAAAACAGCTGCATTATTATTTATTCAGCTCAGAAAATTACAAAAAGAGGGGAAAACGGATGACGAATACGGGCGGGAAACAATATTGATAAAAAACGAATGAATTAGTCAACAGAGGGAGATTAAATGGGATAAAACAGAAGAATGAATCAGGAAGTTCTAGTAGACATTCGAAAGAAGTGAAAGACGAATGAAGAAGTATAAAGAAAATAATAAAAGAATAATTGCTCATTACAACAATTTAGTATTGTAACAGACCTCTGCTTCCGCTTCCGGAAGTTCCGCATACATTTTCAGATCCGCTTCTGCATGTAGTTTCGCATTTTTATTTATTTCTCGTCTTTTTGAAAATCAATATATATCGAAAAAATCAAACAAGTCGTAAAAATTTATTACTTACTTTTATCTGTTGACTGAACTTTGCCGTTTTCAAATTTTATTTTAATTCTCTTATTGGTTTCCTTCGAAAATGTTAATATAGTTCTAGAGTTTATTTATTTTGTATACTGCTTGCTCAGTGGTGTAAATTTTAAGTTAAAAGTGCAATTTTGAGTCCAAAAAGAAGTTCCATTTGAGATTATTTTGTTGATATTAACGATGCAAGTGCTAAATGCAAAATTTGTAACAAAATATTCGCGAAAAGAGAGCACGATTTACTATTTACTTTTGTTTTCGCTTTTGTTTCCGTTATGACACATCCGTTGCATCGCCGTCGTCGGTTGGAGTTGTTTCCTAACTTTTCTGTAGCACGAATGAGGAGCTTCTTCAGATGTCCTTCTATTTCTGATGCTGGATGTAGACCAATCGTGATAGCGAAACGTTAGGAAGCAACTACAACCGACGACGACCTTTAGACCCAAATCAAGACACCATCGGTCCATCAGCTAATCTATTAAAAGAAGTCACTTCTATGCTTGCAAACGGTTAATTCAGAAATTCGAAAAAGGTTGTTAAAAGATTTTGTTTGGAGCGCGGCGTTGTACGGGTGCGAAACATGGATAGTGGGCGCGGCGGCAAAAAAAAGGTTAGAAGCGTTCGAAATGTGGTGCTACAGGAGAATGATGAGGATACCGTGGATAGAGAAGGTTAGAAATGAAGAGGTATTAGAAAGAATAGGAGAACAGAGGACTCTATGGAAGTTAATAAGAAATAGGCGAGATAGGTTGATAGGAGACCTTCTCAGGCATGAAGATCTGGTCAGAGACATATGAGAGGAAGAAGCGGGAGTTAGGAGGGGTAAAGTAGTCGCAAATAGTGAAGGATGTGGCCTGTACTAGTTTTAGAGAAATGCGATGATTTGCACAGGATAGGAAAGAGTGGAGGTGCGTGTCCAACCAGTCTTAGGATGATGATGTGTAATAGAGCAAGATCCTAGAGCCACCAGACATTACTTATTTTGTAATAAAAAAAATTTGTTAAAATCGAATCAACTCTGCGTTATTGTTTACTTTGCAACCCTAATTTATCTAATTACCAAGATCGAAAATAATTCGCATATTATATACTTATAGGTACATATAAAAGAGGAAGGGTTGAATTGAACACCACTACGAAATTTAGCCTCCTTAACCTTAATTAAAGCACGATTGTGTGTTCCGATAAAATTAATGAGCTAAATTACTATTAAATATTCGTCAAAGTTAACGTAGGACTTACATATGACGTTGAGTTTGAAGGAGTCTTCCATTGTTACACCAGGTAAACTCGGATTATCTCCTAAACACTTGAGAAAAGTTCCGTCATCTTCTGGAACAGGTGCAAACGTAACCGTGCTTGATACGACGGTCTCATTTTTGTCGTCAGAAAACTGAAAAGAACAAGTACACTTTCTTTCTAAAAAGGACTTTGATAATGGACACATAATACATGAAGGAGTGAATGCATTTTAAGAACTGCCAAATTGAATTTGCCAAGAGAGTAGATGTTTGAAATTTCAAAGACGCTACGGGTTTAGCGGTTAATTCACGTGCATTCCCTAAGGAATTAAATATGGACCATTATGTTCCAACTCAGGAGCAGGTTTCGTATACATTGCGTCCGGTAGGACGGTGCGGTTCACCGTGGTTAATAATTATTTATTGAGCCCTTGAATATTACATCCAACTAAGTAAATGAATAAATTAAGGATTAGGTACTATTACCTCTATCTGGGAGCCTCTACCGGGATTTCTACGAATTTCAAATACATAAAACATTTAAAATTTAAAGAAATAATTTTCATTTACTAATAACTTTGTACAAGTGACCAGGGTTTCTCTGCTTTCACTTCCGCAATTACGGAGGTTTCGCATACGTTTTCACATCTGCTTCGGCATTTGGTTCCGCATTTTTATAAGTGAAGCTTATCGGAACCTAATAAAATCTTATTTCTCGCTTTTTAAATATCAATATACCGAAACAATAAAAATTGATTACATTTATCTGTTGGGTGAACTTGGCCGTTTTCAAAATATAATTTAAATAGAATTGCTCGTTGCAAAGATGCATGTTGTGCAAGTACCTCAGCTTTCTGCGACCCCTCTCTAACATTGTGAACGTATTTATTATCACCCGTTTATGTTTATGAAGGCAAAATTTTCTTAAAAATTACTTTAATCCAAAAACGTTCAGGATCCAGGATTTTGAACTCCCTTTTAGCCAGTTCTCCTAATAGTTTCATTTCGAAAATACTTATACAATTATAGCGTTTATTTACTTTGTATAGTGTTTGCTCAATTGTGTAAATTTTAGGTTAAAAGTGCAATTTTGAAGCCAAAAAGAAGTTTCCCAATTTGGGATTATTTTGTTGATATTAACGATGCAAGTGTTAAATGTTGTAATTTGTAACAAACTATTCGCGAAAAGGGCGCACGAACACTTCATTAAAGTGTCAATTAAAATGCACTTCAGCTTCTGCATCCGCTTCCGCTTGCATTTACTTGACCAATTCGCTATTTCTTCCCCTACCGATTGCAAACACCGATTATTTGTAAACAAATATCTTATAACTAACTAAAAGAACATACTAAGTGTCCGTTTAAATTAAATTTTGTACAATTATTATTTACACACAGTTTCGCTTTGATAAAGTCTCCCAACATTAGGCGAAACGTTGGTGTCGGTTCTATAACCAACAAAGACTTTATCATCCTCTTTTACCTCGACTCTTTTGTACACATTTACGATTTACTTATGTTTCCGCTATGATACTTAAATAGGAAATTATGGATACCAAGTTCTCCCGCAAGCAAGTTCCATGCAGAAGTTAAATTAATATATATATATATTAATGCAGGCAACTCTTAAAGAACGTAATATTTCTTACCTTGCCCCTCCTAAATTTTCTGTTCTCTTTCACCCATGATATGATGGCTGGCGGTCTGGATCCCTTCACTTCGCAAGTAAAGTTATACGTTTGATCGGAAAGAAGGATGGCCGGTTTGTTTATGATAGAAGTGCTCAGAGGTCGGACTGAAAAAAGAAGAAAATGTGGAAGTTGTGCTTTTTGATGGCGAAGTTTCCTTCGTCGATCGAACGTATCCACTTAATTGATATATTTAAGTTCCAAGTTCGAAGATGGAACGAAACATGTGTTTACTTTTTATAAAAATTTCGTAATTCGAGTATAAGAAAAAGGTCAAGTAAAAGGCACAAAAAATCAAAAAGAAAAAGCTGCTTCCTATTTTGTGCAGTTTTTGAGCTTTATTGGAATATAGACGTTTATACACTATGTCTGATCAGTATTCCGGAATATTTGAACATTTTAACATCTGGATGCACTGTACAGTGCATCTCGTCATAGTACCACAACGTAGGGGATGTAAAAAGTGTGCACACAAAGTACCCCAGTTAACGAGTCGTCGATGATTGAGTACAGTTACCGCGTTATATTATAGGCTTTAGTCGAAACACACATACCTATTCGCGACCTTGGCAAACAACTGATACATACACAAGTCAATTGTAATAATCTGCACTCGTTAGCTTTCGACTGGCAACGTATTGTCACAAAATACAAAAGAAGAAGTGAACGACGAAGAGCGTGCCGGACGCCCGAGCACATCAACAACAGAAGAAAATAGTATTGCCCAATCATGGAATCACCGTAATAGAAGTTACTGAGGACCTAAACATATCGATTGGCTCCTGCCATTCGATCTTTACCAATGATTTGGGCATGAGACGGATCGCCGCGAAATTCATACCAAAATTGCTCAATTTCGACCAAAAACAGCATCACATTAACATTGCTAAGGAGCTGTTGGACTCAAATTTTCTCCAGAGGGTCATAAATGGTGACGAATCATGGGTTTATGGTTTTGACGTGGAAACCAAAGCTCAATCATCCCAATGGAAGCTGCTACACGAGTCAAGATCGAAAAAAGCGCGTCAAGTTAGGTCGAATCTGAAGGTTTTGTTTACAGTTTTCTTCGATTGCAAGGGCGTCTTGCAACATGAGTTCTTGCCACAGGGTAGAACAGTCAATAAGGAATATTACCTGCAAGTTATGCGCAATTTGCGCGAAGCAATTTGCCAGAAACATCCGGATTTGTGGAAGAACAAAAATTGGCTTTTAGTGGTGTGATACGGCTCATTCTGCCTTTTTTCATGTACCTTCTTTTCCTTTAATTTTTCCGAATTACTGATCAGATATAGTGCATAATTAAATTACTGTGCTGTGTGGTGTCGTGGGACACCCGGTAGGAACGAAGTTTCTTCCGATGTTCGACAAATATTACCTGATTATAAATTTTGGCCAAGATATTACGTAAACAAAAAAACCGCCAAATGTCGAATTTCCAATATTAGTACTGTAGCTTCCGAAGCTTTTTAAAACGACTCTTTGAATTTCTGCTGCAGTATAATTACGACGTTTGCTTTCCCAAATTTCCCTTTCACTCCGTTGCGCTATCAAATGGTTAAAGTAAATGAGAAACATGACTCACGCAACATATCTAGCTGAACGGTTTTTTCGGCAGGCATGACGAGCTTGGTATTGCTGGCCTGGCATCTGAAGGTGGAATTGAGATCTTCCCTTTTGACTTGCCGCATTTCCAGACGATTAATCATCACGTTGTTGCCGATGGCTTCGAAATGTCCTTTTCGTATCTGATCGTTGACGAACCAGTTTACAGCTGGTGGAGGACGACCTGCAGATATTATCCGTGGCAGTTAATCAAAGTTCCATGACATTGGGCTACGACCAACACTAACGCTTACTTATCTCTATAATATAATATAAATCCGAACCTGGTATAATTTATTACACTAAAAGCTCTTTATTTGCGTTTCATAAATATGCCGCGAATACAGAAACCATGGATATGGAAAGGTAATAATCATAGGGGATACGTTCTAGGGTTCCAAAAATCAATGTATTGATAAATTCGCAGTTAAAATTAATCGTTATAATCAGCTTTAGGTAAGAGTTCAAAACTTTAATGATTTTTTCTTGTTTTGAATTTTGAACTTAGTCCAGTGTGTTACATCTTGTATAAAAGTCGCCTCGGCACGAGCCAGTAGTACTCAAAAGACGCTGAGACGTTGAAAAATAACACCGAATCCTTTTCTACTCGGTTAGATTTTATATAAAAGCCGCTTCGGCGCGTACCAACTGTACATACTTAAAAAATGCCAATACATTAAGTGAATTTAGTAGTACACGCGCCGTAACATGCTTATCGGTTCTAGATATCATGAGTTTAATATTTGGAAAATAGGTTTGAAATTTTGTAGTAAGATAGATAAAGCTTTGTTCTAAAGCTTGTCGAAGGTCATTTTTTAATTTTTTAATTTCTATTNGCCATTTTTAAATTTCTTAATTTCTTTTAAAAATACGTGTCCTACAAAAACCACCAACTGTAAGCACTTGTAAAAGCTTTTAATGACCATATTATTGAAAACCGGAAACGTACCGAGTTAGTGTGAACCTTTGTCTGTTACCATACAAAAAATTACATATTTATCTCGCAGCGTTAAATGACAACGTTTAGAATAGAAGCTCATGTTTTCGGAAAAATTCACGCTAGGCATGAGCGGTTTATTGCGGTCAATTCCCTTAATAAATAACACCGAATCCTTTTCTGTTTACCGATTGCAAAAAATTTATTTTATCGTATTTTGGCTCGGAAATTGTAAGGTTGATTAAAACATTTGTGGAAGTCATAATTGAAAACCAATTTCTTTCGTTTAATTCTTGACGTCATACTTCTGCGCGCGCACAATGTTATGGAAGCTACTAGATGAGTAAAATCGTTGAGTGAGACTCCTTTTCTGCTTGCTACTAATTGACAATTAAGAAAGCTCAAACAAATTTCTAGATGATGTGAAGAGAACTTCTCAATTGACCTCAAACTTTGCACGAGCAGGCAGGTACGTTTTCTAAATGTGAAAACTTATTTACAAAATCAAATTATATTATAAGAACGGAGACTGTAATTAACAACTTCCAGGAATTCCATTTGGAACACCTCCACACCGATTGAATCACGTCACACTTTGTTATTATGTTATATTGTTGTTCGAAAATTAATTTTAAACTCGTGAAATTTTACACAAAAACCGATTTTTCGTGGCGTGAAAGAATAACAATCTTGTTATTTTGGTAGAAAAACTTTTTAATAAAGATTTTTCACCGATATTGTCATAAAAATTCACAATATTGTATCGCGCAAACTTCTACATAATAAATTATTACGTAATTACTTTTAAAAGAGGAGGAAAACTCATTGTGAAGTTTCGAACAAAGCGGGTGGTTACAAAATATTAATTAAACCGAACTAAAAAATTTGATAAGAAGCAACCTTAATTCGATTTTTGAATAGTACCTACCCACTGCACCCTCTAATTATTGATTATGTCAATTAAGCATTCTTGGTGGACATGATAAATTCGACGGAAGTCCGTAAATGCTTGAATCGTTTATCTTCTGTGGAACAAAAGGAAGTTTACAACTTCGTTAAAACTTCCGGTAACAACCGGATTATAAAGTTATTATCTCTAAAACGACCACGAAAATTATTTGTCGGAACGTTTCGCCCGAAGGAGGAATTAATTCCTTTTAAAGTGACTTGGTTAAAAATTTGGTTACGTAAATCAGAAAAGTGCCAGCTGCACGGGGAAATCTCGACGGGAATTTGCCATAGTCCAGGTTATCGGTGGGAGACTCTGGAGACCTGGAGGAGTAATCGAAGCGCGAGCAAATGGTTCAATCTCATTCTTGTGAACCTACAGAGACGAAAAATCCAACATGCATAGGTGTACCTAGTGTATCAGCCCCATTACTTCATACATATGCCAATTACCTACACGAATTTGTTAATTGGAGTGTTTTTCTGCGATAGTAAATAGTTCAGCTGTTAATTACTAATTTATACTGACATGCACAACTAATAATAAATTAAACCCTCATTTTGGCTTGTCAGCTTGTCACTAACTAACTAACTAGGTACATATATTATCAAATAGATGGTAACAAACATCGTTAGAACGATTAATATTTAACGTTTACTTTGTTTTTAATGTTTATGTAGGCAGGTATAGAATTCAAGCAGAGTGCTTGCAAACGGTAATAATGCAAATGCAAACATGGTTTTGAAAGGTTTAAAAGCAGTCAACGGCGTAAACGCTGCAAGCGTTTGAAAGAAGAACTGAAATATCAATATTTAAATGCGGGTAATGGAATAACGTACTCCAATACATTTTGAGCGAGTCAATAACGCCTTTTACGGTAATAAACATGTACTGGATGTTCTATTTCTTCATTTTTAAAATACGTACATAAATATCTTACAATATTTTACTTTGTGCTGGGAAAACAACATAGAAAGACTGATAAGGGTAAAATCTTGTTTTAATTTCATAATGGACTTAAAGTGATCCTTATCATCAGAGCCCAGTTGTGAAATTTTACAAAATCTAGTCGATCGCACCTCCACTCTTGCGTATTCTGAGCTAATCGACGCATTTCCCTACAACTAGAACAACCCACATCCTTAACTATTTGCGAACAGTAACCTAATCTAGGTCTACTTTACCCCTCCTAACTCCCGCTTCTGCCTCTCATATGTCTCTGACATGCTTGAGAACGTGTCCTACTAACCTATCTCGCCTATTTTTATTGACTTCCATAGAGTCCTCTGTTCTCCTATTCTTTCTAATACCTCTTCATTTCTAACCTTCTCTATCTACGGTATCCTCATCATTCGCCTATAACACCACATTTCGAACGCTTTTAACCTTTTACTTTCCGCCTTGACCACTGTCCATGTTTCGCACCCGTACAGCACCGCGCTCCAAACATACCCCTTTAACAACCTTTTTGGAATTTCTCAATTAACCGTTCGCGAGCATAGAAGTGACTTCTTTTTATTGAAGGCGATAGAGGTGCTATCTTCTACTTTATATCCCTACTACTCCTTCTGTCCTGACTTATCTGACTTCCTAGATACTTAAAATCGGTCACTTCTTCTAATCTGTCGTCTCCTATTTTTACATTCGTTCTTTCCCTACTTTTTCTTCACGGGCATACTATTATTTTTGTTTTACTTTCATTTATTTTCATACAATACTGTTTTGTACACCAATACATTTTGAGCGAGTCAGTAACGCCTTTTACGGTAATAAACATGTACAGGATGTTCTATTTCTTCATTTTTTAAATACGTAGGTACACAAGTCTTTTACAATATTTTAGTTTGTGCTAGGAAAACAACTNTTAAAATCGGTCACTTCTTCTAATCTGTCGTCTCCTATTTTTACATTCGCTCTTTCCCTACTTTTTCTTCATGGGCTACTAGTATTTTTGTTTTACTTTCATTTATTTTCATACAATACTGTTTTGTACACCAATACATTTTGAGCGAGTCAATAACGCCTTTTACGGTAATAAACATGTACAGGATGTTCTATTTCTTCATTTTTTAAATACGTAGGTACACAAGTCTTTTACAATATTTTAGTTTGTGCTAGGAAAACAACTGAGAAAGACTTGATAAGGGTCAAATCTTGTTTTAATTTCATAATGGACCTACAGTGATCCTTATCAATAACTTAAGGGTATTTNCCCACTACACACTTCCTCAAATTAATGAGGAAAAATTTGTTGCTGTTGTCACACCCCCGCCGGGAATCGAACCCGGGCTCTTTGGCTTTACGCGCCAATGCTTTGACCACTAAGCTAATTTGAGGAAGTGTGTAGTGGGTAAAAAATTGAGAATATTTCATATTAAAAGTAACTCACTTCGGGAAGATTTCTACATTGTATGTATTCTTATTTTGTATTTTGGTTATTGCATTTATTTACTTAGGTTTAAAGTTTCCGTTTACGTTGATTTGTGCAGGTACCTGAATACCTTATATTGCATGGATCATTAAATTCCCATCTAGGCTGTATTTTCCATATTTTCAAATGATTCATATTTCTATTATTGTCATCTGGCCTGCAAATTCATGTTTATATTATTTTCGGGTCGTTGTTAACTGTTTACGAAGACTTGTATATTTCTTTGTGTATTTGTTAACCCCGTCTCTACAATTCAACGTTAATATAAGTACTTGACCACTAGCCGAAACAGTAGTTCTATACCATCACTCAAACGATTTATTTTTGCTCTAATTCCTTTTCTTGTACACCGTAAATTCAGTAAACATTTAGGTTAGTTATAAACAGTGTTTTATTTTCTTCACGTATTCACGAAATTTTGAACTATCGAGTTTCAAACTGAAACTTGAAAGGGCTCTCAAAATAAATAATTTTGTGCCCAAAACACTCATGTTCAAGATTATTAAGAGAAAAATAGTGTGAGTATAGTCGCGACAATCAAAATTGGCAAAGTCTGCAACAAATTATGTGTGTGAATGGACGTAGGTATCTTCTTTCTTGTTTCCACTTGGGATTGTAATCATTGCTGTGCTCTGAACACGCCTTTGTTTTGTTAAGTTAGGAAATGCTTTATGAGTAGAATAGACAAGTGAAAAGAGATAATAACCGAATAAAAGTAAGCAGTGCAGCGGTTAGAGGTTGCTTAGGTACGCAAAATATCATGGTCTGTTTTATAACTGCCTGGTTGGAATCATATTTTTAAACAAGCGTCTTTACTTTTCTAAATTCCTGAGAATGTTGAACTTTCTTTAGAGTTCGATGCTAGCAACATGCTCGAAGAGGTATTAGAAAGAGAGAGAACATAGGACTCTATGGAAATCAATAAGAAATAGGCGAGATAGGTTGGTGGGACACCTTCTCAGACATGAAGGTCTAGTCAGAGACATATTAGAGGCAGAGGCGGGAGTTAGGAGGGGTAGAGGTAGATCTAGATTAGATTACTGTTTGCAAATAGTTAAGGATGTGGGATGTTTTAGTTTTAAGGAAATGCCAAGATTAGCTCAGGATAGGAAAGAGTGGAGGCACGTGTCCAACCAGTCTTAAGACTGACGACCTTATGATAATGATGATATCGCATATTCAAAGGCCGGTTTTTTTTTAATTTTTCAACATAGTCCTCTTTTAGAAAGATACACTTCTCCCAACGTCCCTGCCATTTTTTTAACCTGTCCAAAAAATAGGATTTGTCGAACCCTCCAAAATTCCCCCTGTCTCGGCGATGACTTCCTAGTTTGAGTTAAATTTTTTATATCAACTGAATGTACGAGGGCGGTTCAATAAGTACCCGTGTTAGAAATGATGACTCCTTTTTTATAATTTTTTTTTTTATTTTTCAACATAGTCCCCTTTTAGAAAAATACACTTCTCCCAACGTCCCTGTCATTTTTTTTACTCTCCAAAAAATAAGTTTTGTCGAACTCCCTCGTATGAGCTAAATTTTTTTCTCGCGAGTCATTTCTTCATGGTAGGGAACAAGACGAAGTCGCAGGGACTCAAATCGAGTGAATACGGGGTGTGCGGCAGCAAATTCATAACGTAATTCATGCAGTTTGGCCAGTTTAGCGGCAACAACTCCTGATGAATGTGCCGGTGCGTTATCGTGTTGAAAACGCACCTTCTTTTTCGTCAAACGCGTCCGTATCTTATTTCAATTTTTCGTCGAAGTGGTCCAATAACTCATTGTAGTATTGTCCAGTGATCGTTCTTCCTTTTCCTAAAAAATCCGTAAAATGATTTCCTCGGTAACAACGTTTGCCAGGCTTCCTGGTCGCTCCTATCAAAAACGGATCTTTGCCCACGTTTGAATTCGTTGAAGCAATATCTAACTGTGGTCATAGATGGCGAAATGTTCCATTTTACCGAAAATAACGAAACACGTCTCAGTCGAATGGCTGCCAAATCCAAACTAACCTATCAATCAGTCTGAAATTCGTTTTGGAGTGGTTTGATAGATGGCAGCACACGATGACAAGACTAATTTCCCTCAGGAACGTCCTCTATCTTCAAACACGGGTACTTATTGAACCGCCCTCGTATATGCATTGGTGACGTTATTGTTTGGTTAGGTTAGGTTTGGAGATGTATATGCATTAGTGATGTTATTGTATGGTTATTAGGCATTTCTGACAGACTGGAATTTCTCCAATGTCACTGCCCGCCGGAGGGCTGATATGTTGGAATAATGTCTTCGAAAAGTATGCTTTATTATGATCTCCTCTCCCAACGGATACATATAAAAATGATCAGGATTATGACCTCTACAAAGTACTAAAAATTTAAGGTCATCGTGTTTGCTGAAACAAAAATAACCTCGTCACATTATTCTAACATCTAACATATCAGCCCTCCTTCGGCGGGCAGGGGCAGAAACCCAAGTTTGTCATAAATTTCCCTAACCAAACAAAGACGTCACCAGTGGACGTAGGTACATCTCCAAAGAGCCTGCCGTATTCCTGCCTATTTTGTAATACATTTCCGATTGCTATTTAGGAAATGTATAGATAGATATAATTTATTTCACACATTTCCGGGCGATATTAAAAATTATATATATTTCCTAGGAGTTGTATACAATGACGGATATCACAGATTTCCGGTAACATATCTATCAGGTCCACTCTTTTGAATTAAAATTGCAACGTACGTCAGGTACAGGTAGAGGTACATCACACTTTTATAACGAGTGCATTTTTAGTTAAAGGGCAAATAAGTGAAAAGAATGAGAGACCTACCTCCCCTAACTTCGCAGGTCAGCACCAGATCTGACCCTTCCTCCAGAGGACCAATTTCACCAGCAACGTCCCGTCCAGAATTATCGTAAATCAAAATTTGGTGGGGTGGAACTGTAACAAAAAAAAAATAAAACTGTTAAGTTCTCTCGGTGACTGCATATTAAGTTTGTTAATCATCTATTAGATCGGAGCTCAACCTCGTTCTAGAATATCTAGGATTTTCATACTTTTGGGTTTATCATGTACTCGACACAATAGAAGTATTACAAAATAAATATATTCAATCATTAAATATTAATCAAGATGTATTGACGTTTCATAATTCTTGCCTTTTCAGTTAGTCCGGAAGAAGTTAAATCCTGAAATCATCAATCAAGATCCTTCTTGATCAATTAAATACTAAATAATGATATTGTTATTATTGAAATGTTGGTGGGTTCAACAAAATTAACTTCTAAGACTGATAACGACAAAAAATATTTATTTACCCTAAATTATTAAAGAACTTAAAAACGCTATTAAATTATTATTAAACTTACGTTATAAATTATTCTATTTATTTATACTACTGTTGATATATCACTATTCACTGCTATCACTGTCAATTTATTTCTGGATTCACTTCTGCAACGGTCGATTTATTTCTTCCCTTCTCGGCGATCGTCTCTTCCTTTAAATACTCTTTTGTTTACTTTCGGGAACCTTCTGGAAACATCCGGATAGTTTATTTTTTCTCTAAACTGTTTAACTGCTTCCCAGAACGCAGGTACGACACACACATTTACAAATACGGCGCACATGAAGAAAGGCGCCCGCGTCTAGTCGGCGAATCGATAAGCCGTTCACGCACACGTGTGCCCGATCGCACACAAACACACTCGTGCTCGCTACATTATCGTCCTGGAAGGCGACAAAATATTCCAAGACATGATTGGATTTGATTGAACGAATTTTTTTTTTGATAATTATACATATTACATTAAGGCGACCTATACTATTAGGATTCTGTTGTGACCTCTTTGTAGCTTGGTAGTTTTCATTAATATTTGAGGTTATCTGCAGTGGGTAAAATCAATTCAAAAATGAATTAACTAATACATGAATTAATGCTACAAAAATTCAAACTAGGATTGATTTTCCATTTAGATTTGCCTAGAAGAAGGACATTTCAAGTTTTGAAACTTTGGGTAGGCGCGAAATAAAATGAACTCTATTGAAAGTAGGAATAAGACGACTACCGATAGTAGTGAGAGCCTGAAATCATCAGTCAAGATCCTTCTTGATCTATTGAATACTAAATAATGTTATTGGTGATAGATTATAAACATTATCGTCTGAGAAGGCGACAAAAGATTCTAAAACGTGATTGGATTTGATTGAACGAATTTTTTTTTTAGTCGTTCGACGAAGAATCCGAAAGCGACGAAAGGACTTTGGGAATAAGAAGCCGAGCGAAGGAAATAAAACGAACAAAATCAATCCTTCGACAGCAGTAAGGCTCCGCACTTTCGAACGGTGTCCAAAGTATGTAAATACAGATATGCAAATAGTCACTTCCTTGTGTGAAGGAATGCATTTGAAGTGCAATTTCTACATTTTTGCCTGAAAGCTCGCTTGGCTACTACTCTGCAGCTGAACTCAACTCGGTTAGTGCTGTAATAATATGTCATCCGTAAATTTCAAAAGCTTGTTACGTTTACATTTTTGCCCCCGGTCGACATAAAGGGTTCAGCTTTGTAGAAAGTCCCTTTTCGAAAATCATTTCGAGATACCTTCACACATTCACGAAAACGACCATACACAAATCTTTCTTCAAAAAACGTTCAAACGAATATACCAGCCATCAGACAACTGTTTACGTACAGTAAAGTTCTACTTTATTTTAGGCTGTTTCTAGAGAGCTATTTTTTGTCCATCATTAAATTTTAAGTACATAATTAGACAGAATCAAGCTAATCTAAAATGCCTTCAAGAAGTCTGCTTCCAATAATATATAAACGCTATCGATTGACTATCAAACAATAGGAAATACATATCATTTCCTCTACCATATCCTTATCATCATCATCAAAAGGTCGTTAGTCGTAAGACTGGTTGGATACGCACCTCCACTCTTTCCTATCCTGAGCTAATCTTCGCATTTCCCTAAAACCAGAACAACCCACATCCTTAACTATTTGCGAACAGTAATGTAATCTATACTACCTCTACCCCTCCTAACTTCCGTTTGTGCCTTTAATATGTCTCTGACTAGACCTTAATGCCTGAGAAGGTGTCCTACTAACCTGTCTCGCCTATTTCTTATTGACTTCCATAGTTCTCTATTCTCGTATTCTTTCTATCTCTTCATTTCTAACCTTCTCTATTCACGGTATTCTTATCGTTCGCCTGTAACACCACATTTCGAACGCTTCTAACCTTTTTTCTCAGTTGCCCCCACCGTCCATGTTTCGCACCTGTACAGCGCCACGCTCCGAACTTTTAGCAATATTTTTCGAATTTCTAAATTAACCGTATGCGAGCATAGAAGTGATGTTTTTTTATTGAAGGCAATTCTACCCTGCGCTATCCTCTGTTTTATATCCCTACTACTCCTTCCGTTCTGACTTATTTGACTTTCTAGATACTTAAAATCAGCCACTTCTTCTAATTTTTCGTCTCCTATCCGTATATTCGCTCTTTACCTATTTTTTCTTCCCTTGCATACCAGTATTTTTGTTTTAGTTTTATTTATTTTCATACAGTGTACTGTTTTGTAAATGCCGCTTCCATTTTATTTAAAGCTATCTCTAACTCCTCCTTGTTAGATGCTAATAAGTACTACTATATCATCTGTAAATCTAAGCATACTAAATTCCTGTGTACCTGTCCCTACACTTGTAGTGTCTTTAATGATGTTGATCGCGACTTCGTTGTATAGATTAAAAAGTAGCCATTGAAGGTTTTCTAGCCAGTGCGTTAATTTTATTTAAGAAAGTTCCAGTATTACGATTGATTTTACATTGAACTATTACTGTCTATTAACATCGTACAAGACTTTCATATTGAATTGCCTCTAACTTTTTTCTTTAAATTTACTGAATATCTTTCTTATATTGAATTATTGCTTTATTAAATAAAATTCAGTTTGAAAACAAAGACTTTTCTGATTAGGTAAGGAGTAGATACATTTGGAAAAAAATTACATTGAAGGTCAGCACGAATAGAACCGAAGTATTATATTCATATTAATCAGTTTCTACCTAAGCTTAATTCCTCATTATTATTGGTTATAATCTAGGGCTTTACATCATTTCAATATTTCGAACAGTTTCGGAGATATCTCGTAAAAGCTTCTATTGTATGATAGTTTATCTAAAACCTTTTCAGCAAACTACTATCATATTCCCCTGGCAGCTGGTCAGAAACAGTTACAGCTTATCATATGTGTGCCTTTTGTTTATTTTTTTTTTATTACCGTTTCTGCAGTCCGAAAAAAGTTTCAGTTTTAGTAAAGCAACGTCACATACGACAGTGATTTTTTTTGTTGTGAATAGAGGTCTTATCGTGAGTTTACGGTTGAAGTCTTTCGTTTTTGAACCTGTAACAATTACCCCTGAATTTCTGTAGAGAAATGAAACAATAGAGTCAAAATCGAACTGTCAACGACAATGTGTTCGAATATTCACGCCACAGTTCGTACATTTTGTACCCGTACTAAAACAGATTGTGCCCGAAAAAAAGGTAAAAGAAAATAGGGCAAAATGTACAGTATCAGAAGAATTTGTAGTACCCATACTTTTACCAGTTAAATTTCGATAAACAATCACACTTTGAAATGAAAGATTGTAGTTTTTGACGTGACAACGTCTTATAATTCGATGGAGCCGGCTGCACGCACGAAAAAACATGACTCATGCGGCGTTACCTCGCTCTGAGGCGTTCCATTTAAGGTTTGAAGTGCAAGCGAGAGCGCGGAACGAGAGCGACAAAGAGGTACAATCGGCCTCCGCGTTCACCTACTTGAGTGAGCGATGCGTCCGCATGGACAGCTGCTATACAATAATACATTTCCATTTACCTCCTTCTCTATATCCATACAAAATATCTATCAAATAAAATTAAAATTTTCTTTTGAAAAATGAAACCATTCCATCAGTATTTTCTGATGACGTTGTCACGTTCAACTATCGTCAGTAAACCGACTTTACAGACAACCGATTTTTTTTAGTTTGAATTAAGATAACGATCTTATCATCATTTACCGATTATTTATCTAATAGGTCTATCACAATAATTTGTAGGTAGTAGATGGTATCTCGTCATCATCAGTATTATACACTTAAATTCTGTAATAGTTCTGCGCAGGTTTGTAATGATAATTTGTGCAGCTAGCTCATCTCATAATTCGATTTTATGGAATTATAATTGACTATTAATACGTCTAATATGTGTCTACCTTCGACTAGAAAGTTATCCTTTAATCGAAGTTTCTGATTAAAAATCACTCGTCTTTTGGTGTGTTGGACATGTTTAAATGTCAATGTTCGGTTAAGGGATTTGGCTAAATGTTTGACAACGGAATTACCTATGACTACGTCCAAATGTGAACGAGTTATACTATAGTAGATTGTTAATAATAATTTTTTACTCCTGAGAAATCTGCAGTAAGCTAATTTAGTAACATGATTCCTTTAATTTTAAGTTCTTACCTATATGAAGATTTATGACTTGAAGGGGTGGAGGAATGGCGTGTAAAGGTGGTATTCTTTCTTGAAAGTAAATCTCGATTGGCAGTTAACAGCGTGGTAATGGAATTGAAACGGCCGACCGTATGTTTAGATATAGTTCAAATAATGTTCAACAAGGGTGATTACGAACGGCGTCATTATTCATAGTTTAATTATTATTTCGCTGATGACTGCAGCGGATAAATGGGGAGCAGTAACGCCATTAATTACGCCAGTATCGAGTATTACAGAATTAATCATTGCCATTTCAAAGTTTCATGTCACATTGGCACCGTGCTCGAACTGGATTGTTAACGTTTGCGGCCATATTTTCATCCAATTATACCATTCTTCTTCATTTCGCGCTATTTTTGAATCGCCAGCATTTGAACAGTCGTTAGT